TCATACAGTTCTAGATCAGTGGCCATCATTTGAACTATTTATTGATGATGTGGTGTGTCTCACTTCCTTACACCAACGGCAATGGCCATGCTGGTTTCACTTGAGCGGTGGCAGTCACTTGCTGGGAGTTCTAGACAGTGCGGCCGGGGCCAGACGAGGGTTGAAGTGTCATTTTATGTTAGTCAATAAATTAAACCTCCATTAACCGAAACCCATCTAGACAGACACTGTTCACCAAAGGTTCCTTTAATCGATTCATTTGCCTCCCAGCCAATAAAAAGATCAATCAGTTTAAACAAGTTTTTTAAAACACTTACATCACGTGCCAGAGGTGCAGCTCCTTCCAGGACGGGGGCGGGCTTGCTCTCCTCATAGTGCTGCAGCCGTTCGTGGATCTGAAAGGACAGATTGTATTCATTATTAAGGCTGAGATAGTAGTGAGCACATGTGGAAGAAAAAGTGTGCACGCTGGAAGCCATGTGCACGTCTCCAAACAGACATGTGAGAAAACATGTACAACCTTCATCAGCACCATCTTGTACATACACAGAGTTCATTAAATCATGTCCTTAAATACCAAAAGCACACACAAAGATCTTTCACTCCCTCGATCCACTAAGTATTTCAGTTAGCTTAGCCACTGTACAAACAATCCAGTTTTCCACCATGCATTCGATATGTCCCAGTGGCCCCGTGATGATTCCAAATCATTTCAACAGTCTGGTGAAATTGGCTAAACATTTCCTTATCAGCCTCAGCGCTGTGACTGCACAGTGTTGAGAGACAGAGCTGCGTCTCTGGAGAGTTGCTAAAATGGAAAGTAAGCCTGACTCGTGCGCTCACTTTCACTCATTTATATACGCAAAACCACTTCATCATATGTGGAGCAGAGATGGAATAATTTATATACACACAAAGCACACGTTCACACCCACGCACACAACGTCAAAGGCACAGTTGCACACTTGTGCCTACGCACACACAGACTCACAAAAAACACTACAGATTTCCCATTTGTGATTTAAAAGCAGCTGCGCAGGAATGCATTGACAGCCTACAGGCTGCTGTCAGGTCCCATCAAGGAACAGACAGGGACAGCTTTCCTCCCAGCAGCCACTCCTGCGTCTCTCCTTCCTCAGGCCCAGCATGGTGAAGGGGATCTGGGCCACGGGTCTGACTGATAGCTGGGCCCCGAGCCTGGAGCTTCCAGCTGGATGTCCTAGAAAGCATTCCAGGAGGATGGTGGAACAGAGGAGCCTCTGGCTGAGGAGAGAGTGACAGAGACGCTCTGGGCCACTTCTATATCTAAAGAGCCAAATCCACACATGCGGAGTGCATGCACACACACGCACACACACACACACACACACACACACACACACACACACACACACACACACACACACACAGATGGAGCAGTGACAATGTGTGACAGAAAATCACTCAGCAGGACAGAAAAAGACAAGAAAAGCAGTTTGTTTGCTGTCACACTGAACAGCTACAGATGCTTTGTGCAATTAAAACATCTGTTTTAGGAATGTTAGACATAGTTTTTACTCCTCGCAACACAAGTGATTATGTTTTAAAGCTAGATGGTAGCAGTACTGTAAATACGGAGGAAAGCAAGTCAGAATCACTGACAGTTGAATGTTCTGACACAGTCACAGGACGTCCTCAATGTTTTTGGCCCTGGCAGAAGCTCTGATTAGCAACAACATGAGCAGCGTGTGTAGATGAGTTGATTTGAGTCTCTTCAAGATGTCATCTGGCTTCGATAATCACCAGGGACCAGCACCAAAATCCAAAACGTGATGTCATTCAAAAACATTACCCAAACACCAAATGTCACCCATCAAAATCACTTTTATAACTTTCCAGTGAAGAAAACGCGACGCAACGACGTGTGAAATGTCTTTACATCGTCTCTCCCCATCAAGATTCCAGTTTAAATCTTGGCCTTAAACAGCTACAGCCATTTCAGCTGGACTTATCCACACAGTCTGCCGAGATAAATCACAGCCTGTTAGGACTCTGTCTTGGCCAGCACAACAGTCATGTTTCAAGGTCAGCTTAGAAGTTCAAATCCTGCATAAAGCCGTTATTACTCAGCAATAAAACACGGTGCATTAGGCGTGTCGTGGAGGTAAACATGTTTTTCCCCTGTGGACATGCTGATGGATGTTAGGACTGCTGTTGATGCTTCGGCAACCTGTCATGCTGTAAACTTTTTTAGACCCCCAATTATCTCAGAATTAATCCTGAGATAAATGGGGGTCAAATCACTCTATAACACTATATAAAACAGTGCTAACTGCATCTTGTGAACATCATCTATAAGCCCTAACATTATGGCTAACTAGTTTTATATTTCTTTCCACTGAGTTATTGGTTTGAAATAATCTGTCAATAGTTTGCTAACATGAACTAATGTAATGTTTAGGGTCAGGGTTGCACACTTTGGAGACTTTTCAAAATACCTGAAGACATAAAACATAGTATTTAAGCAGGCTTAAGACCTCTGCCCAGAAAACTTCACATCACATCCTTTACAAGCTGAACATCTTTTTCAAAGTGACCCGGTGCAAAACCCTGTGACAGACTGGCGACCTGTCCACGGTGTACCCTGCTTCTCGCCCTAAGACAGCTGGGATAGGCTCCACAGTCTCCCCCGCAACTCTGAAAAGCAGCAGAGAATGGATGGATGGATGGATGAAACTGGAGTAATGGGTGTGGGATTTTCCTTGATTACCAATACAGACAATACAAAATGATAGAATAGGGACTGGTTGACCTGTAGCTTTCTTGTTTTAATTGTCCCTCCAGTGTGCTCCAGTGTCCCTGTCATAACCTTGCATTTGGCTTCATCTATCATCATCTAGCCACTTTTGGCTCATTTCAGAGATACTTGTTTGTAAACAACGTGCTTAAATCTGGGCTGCAGTCGACCATTGAACTTTAATGAAAATATTTGGAAGGTAGCCTAAATCCAAAGTAAGACAGTGCAAGGAAGGGGATATATTTTGGATTCAAGTGAGGCTTTCAAACTATAAATAAGCACCTGGCTCGTGTCATGAGAATATTTTCTAGCAACAAACAGATGTAAATAAAAGCTGAAAGATGATATCGGACAATAATTCTTTCATCTCTGTAACATAATCGGATTAGGATGGATGTGAGACGTCCCGACCATCTGGTGAGTACAGGTGAGAGAGACAGAAAGAGCATATGTCTGGTTTAAGTCTTCATGTTGCTCTGAATTCTCTACTTCTTTCTTGTCTCTCTCTCCATCTGTGACACCTCCTCCTCTGGACCGTCTCTCTCCTTCCAGACAGAGTGACCAACAACTGGCTGTAATTACCCAGGTGAGGCAATTACAACCAGTGAGCGACCTGGGTTGGGAAGCCTGTCAGATTAATGTGATGTGTGTGTTTTCTCTCTGCTGTTTAGCCTTTCTTTCGTATAGAAAGAACCTTACACAAACCCCAAATAAAGGTGGACTGTGGAGATTTGGTGGCCATCTCTTCCTCTGGACCGTCTCTCTCCTTCCAGACAGAGTGACCAACAACTGGCTGTAATTACCCAGGTGAGGCAATTACAACCAGTGAGCGACCTGGGTTGGGAAGCCTGTCAGATTAATGTGATGTGTGTGCTTTCTCTCTGCTGTTTAGCCTTTCTTTCTTATAGAAAGAACCTTGCACAAACCCCAAATAAAGGTGGACTGTGGAGATTTGGTGGCCGAGCTTTAGGAAGAGGACAATTAAGGTTTTATTAATGGTGTGTCCATGATGTTAGCCTGAATGCTGCATCTGGTTTCTGAGTAAGACGAGATGGTTGTTTAGTACTTGTGTGCGTTTTAAAGTCTGCCCGTCTGTCCATTTGGCTCACTAGGATGGCTCAGTTAATCAGTCAGACACAGCAGTCGAGCAGCTATTACATTTATTTACGGAATAATAAAGAATGGAAAGCTGATTTGCAGGAAACTACCCCATGTTTAGGGGGGGAAATTGTTCTCTATTTAACAACAAATATCAGAGAAAGATTTCAGACAAACCTTCTCCCCCATCTCTGCAGCTATCTAGTTTAACAGGCAGTAACCAAACCACAGGCCCCTTCCTGCTGGTAAGAGGAAGGAATTAGAAGATCTGGACAGGTAGATGGGGCAATAGGACTGTAATTCATGAATAATAATTGCTTTGGAGGCTGGGGGCTCCTCTTTTCAAGACTTTTTATGTGACTAATTTAGTAGTCTGCCTTCTTGGCAATAAACTTTGTACACAATCTACATGTGCAATTAAAGCTAGGCTTGGTTAAACTGAGGTATTCATATGTATAGCACTTAAATGAAATTACTTAAGCGTTTTAAGTGTATTTAAGAGTTATCAGTGCGTGCATATATGAGTTAAACAACACGTGATTTTCTGAAAAATATGTAGGCGAAATTCCTATAACTCTATTTGTTTGTTGTACCTTAACAAGTGAGTGGAGACTTCTCTCTCCAAACATATCCTGAAGGAAGGTGTTGTCCTCAGAGCAGTTGACATGAGGCTGCAGCTGGGATGGCAGGGCCGCCAGCAGCTCATACAGACCTGCAGAAGGAAGGAGGAAGCAGGAGGGGTCAGTGTGGTAGTGGGAGGTGTGAGTTGTTGCATGCACAGCAAAAGACACAAGTGCTGTATGTGTGCATGAATACATATACACCCAACACACCCAGAGTCAGGCAGAAAGCAGATGCACACGTAAAAACAAAACACACAAAGTCCTGTACTAGTGCCTTTAGGAAGGAGTACATACTTACACAGACTACAGCTCTAATTATAATCTGTGGATGCTCTTCCTTTTCCTTCCATGCTGATTCTATTACACATTTAAAAAAACAGAAACAAAAATGTACGGTTCAAACTTCTACGAGCGACAAAACAGACGATGATATCCCTCGCAGGGCTCGCAAAATCGCTAGCCCGATTCCCTGTTTTTTTCAGTTGTTTCTAATCATGGACAGAAGCATCCCTCAAACAACAGGAAGGGCTGGAACAAAAGCAAGAAGTAAAGGCGGGGGAAGGGAAATGTTGCCTTTACGTCTCTTCTTTCAGGTGCAACAGCGAGGCGGGCTCTCAAAATTTCAAAATCCCTGGTAGCCCTTCGGGCAGGGACTCTTCAGTTTTTGGTAGCCCAAAATAAATTTAAGTAGCCCGAATAAAAAAGAGAGCAATTTTTTGATTGATGTTTTGTTTCCTTTACAATATTATACATTAAAGTATAATATTGTAAAGGAAACAAAACATTAATCAAAAAATTGTTGAAAAACAAATTACAACATTGTATAAAAATTACAATCATCAACTCAAATACTTGGTTCTAATTGAACAGAAATTTCTATGAACTTGTAAGAACTGTGTAGGACATGAATCAGTCTGTGTCAGATCCTGAATTTGAAATTTCCACTGAAGTCACGGGTAAGAGACAAGTGGAACCAAGATCGAGGCCATTTGCTTTTTGAAGTTTGCAAAGACTGCTAAATTTTGCCAGTGGTAGTTCACTCTTTGCAACATAGTACGCTGTTCTAAACAGATTTTTCAGGTTTATTTTTAGTATGTTATTTGCAATTGGTGTTTGTTCTGGGAAAGATATTGCAGACTGAGCAATAATGCATTTCTTGCATTTCTCATGGGTTCTAATGGGGGCCTTTCTTAAAATGACTGGTCCCAGTAACAAAGGCGCTTGTCGACTCAGAAATCGAGAGAAAACCAACAACACACCCGGCAGAACATTATGTTATTTACACGGGTGCACATAAGTGGTCCGCATGTGCGCATTCGCTGTCAAAATAAAAGACGCGCACCAGATAAGAAGTTGCAACGCGCGTTTGCGTCCATATAAAAAGCACTGTTTTTGTCCGCTAGAGTGGGATTTTCACGGCACATTCTGCACCACATCTCTGTGCGTTCATCATTTGTTTGAAGCCAGCTCACCTCCTGCAACCACTTTTCCGAGAATACGTGCTTCTTTTGTGGTTCGGACTCCTTCTGACATTTGTTTGGAGGTGGAGGAACACCAAAGTAATTGCTTAAAGGAGCTTCTTCGACATCTTTAAGAGTTCTAAACAAATGTCTGTCCTCCTCCAGAAAATCTTATGTATGCAAACACGCGTTGCAACTTCATATCTTGTGCGCGTTTTTTTTTTTTTGACAGCGAATGCGCACCTGCGGACCACTTATGTGCAGCCCTGGTATATTAGCTCGTCATATTGCAGCCACAGAAATTATTTTGTCCATGAAACCATAAAGCTGCACTTTCTTTTTGCCTTATAGTCTGATTTGTCATAACTTCCGTT